TCTATTACGACAAAATCGGTGAAAAAAAACCAATTTGGAATAAAATCACAAATAATGCCATTCCGCAAATCGAATTAGTGTCGCCAGGAATCAAAAATAATGCAAAATAATGATTTGTTCGGTGTAGTTGATAGCGTAGAGCATTTTATTCTAACGACAATAAAGCAATGGAGTGTAACTATTTTGTTGGATATAGGAAGTTTTGGCAAAAAATAAATAACTAAATAATACGGATTCATCGCCTTGTTCATAAGTATTGATTTCGTGAGAATAGAAAGAATACATATATTGTGTTTACGTAAAACGTGTTTACTATTGAATTAATAATGGGGTCAACAGTGAGGAACATAAATGAAATTATTGCATTGGGAATGTTATATTGTTATTAATACAGTGACATCGGTGGAGAAATACATTCGCTGACGTTTCGGTTCCCGTGGATAACCTGCCTTCAGAAAGGTTACCCGCGGTAACTAAAATGTCGGTGAATATGATTCTTCACCGACATTGCTATGTTATTAACATTATAACATTCACAATAAAACAACACATGGCGCATCGATTTTTCGATCCACTCCTGACAACATTTGGTCCTGATGAGTTAAAAAGAAATGATTACATATTGTTACGTTTTGTTCTTCCTTTTAATACGAATTGTTGAAAGGGAACACTGGTTTCGAAATACATTAGTTTATATGATCCAAGGCGTTTGCATTTCTCATTGTTTACACTTTTGTCAATGTGATCATTTTTTTCTATCGCGCAGTTCCATCTCTCTCTGATCGGCCATTTCGCAATGGGTTTGTATGCGATTAAACCTTTGTAACATTCAAACATTTATTTGAATCCCGTTTCACTCGTTTCACATAAATTAAACTATTTTGGTCGTATTACTTCCCTGAAAGGCACACGGGAACCATGCGCAATAATTCTCGTTATTTGATTAACCTAAAGTATCTTCACCTCGAAATTTCAGCCATCCGTATCCGTTGAAACCGCCCCCAACCAAAAAATCAGAGAGAGGAGGGAGCTGGAGGGTTCAGAGGGGAAACTTTGGAACCTGCCTGTCGTTACAATGCGTTGGGTGAGTGAACCCAGTTAGCGTCCATACTCAAAAATCTGTCACTTGAAGTCCAACTTCGCTCCAGTTCGCGCACTAGTCTCCTTCGTTATACAACTCTTTGGCTTTAGTTATTATCTCATGGATTTCTGTCTCATCGAAAAATTAGAAGGATAGAAGCTAATAATAGGCCTAGAGTATCGAAAATATGATAAAACCTAATGGGGATTAAACAGATGGGAGTAGAATATACGTTGATGTACAAGTGTCATTGTATACGCAGCATATCCTAAGCACACCGTATCTGTCTAACCATGAACTAATTCGGTCCAAACGGCCTCTAACCGGGAAACCCAAAGTGACCCAGATGAATGAATTACCTTATCAAAGTTTTTCTGACTTTATACATATCCTCAGCTGATCAGTTATGACCCCGTTTCTAACACTTCATGCATTGCAAAACATCGCATACAGAGGAAGTTTATCCAATGGCATCCCCAAACCTGTACTACTTCTTAGTTTTTGCATCAACTCATCATTGCTTTTCCGGTCGTCGCACTAAAATTCGATAGAATTCGTGGACTTTCTTCTCACAAAGGCCAAACGTTTGCACGATTGAGAAACATCCTCTGAACTACTGGTGGCAGAAGGTCTGGTATCATCGTGACTGCTTTGATGTTTCAGATTGGCCATCGCCAATTAGGTCTTCTGTGTCACCACCCATTTCGAGATTCACCCTTCCAAAAAAAATCAATGTCTATAATGGAACGTTCTTCTACTTCCTCAAGTAAGTCACCGATCAGGGTGAGTAAGGGAGTTGTGCTGTACAAGTTGCGTAACTGTAACAGTATTGCATATCCACCATTCAGGCTTTAAACCCCGTACTCATGGTATGGAAAGAGTATGTGCTCCTTTTATGCCAAAAAGCACACATCAGGGCTGACCATTACTATGCATTCATGTTTTTTTCAGTTGTCATCTTGGAAGATAGTAGTTTTATTTTGATCTAACAATAACAGAAGGAGATACATTATAATGTGTTGATTGCGGTCGAAAACGTCTCACTGAATCAATTCTAGCATGCAGGTTTGAGCGTGCTATCGTAATGTAATCTGATTTATTCCTAAAGATTCCTTTGAGTAGTTAAGCTCTCGGGCAATCAACTGATAGCCTTTGTATTGATCTTCGGAAATCATTTCAATAAATTGTCTAGATTTTACTTCCGCTGCAATAACGGATCAAACATAGCTGAGGTTTCATATGAGTTCCAGGTAAACGAATAAATACTCAGAATAGGTTAATAGCACTATCATTTATTATGCATATGGTGAATTTCTGACTCTTGCCGAATTTTTCCTTTCTCCAAACAAGTGTTTTGACGGAGTTTAAAACCATTTATCACACTTTTAATTCTCCATCTCACCACATATAACAGCCGACAATCATCCAGATTTAACGACAGTTTCAAACACTCTAGCCTTAGTGCTCACATGCTGTTGCGTAGCCTCACCATGCATTAGTTTTATTGGTAAGAAAATCTAACCAACCCACTAACAATGAAAATATCACGAAAGGACCTGAAATGTCTATTCTCCATATGGTTATTTGACGTTCAGCCCTTGCCTAGTTGGAAAGTTGAAGTGATATAGCCATGAGTTTACTGTAAAGCCTAATTTTTGGTTGAAACATCGTAGATCAAGGTGGAGTATAACACAATGGATGATACAACAAATAACTTCATAAAAAGATAAGGTGTTATATTGTGCCTGACAAATAAACACACAGAATCAGAAAATGTAGTATAAGCGTTCAAAACGTTTAGTTTACCCTATAAATACGGAAGAGTGGCAGAGCTGTTTGTCATCATGGTAATTCAGTAGCCGAACGCAATATACACGAATAATAAACTTGAAATCGGTATTAAATTAATTCCATAGCTTTTTGATTTTAACATTTAAAAATTATCAGTTTCTGGTTTCACTAGCAACAAAATGGTCGTTCACAGGAGACTCGANACATCTTCAGAAAATCGCCTCCTTGATCGTTTCGTAAAGAAAAATCTAGACCATAGATCATGTTATTACTCAAGGAACGTCACAAAGAAAGAACGGTTCATTAACTTGTCATACAAGGCGGATGGTAGATCAGGTTCCTTCACCGAGCATCGAACAGCTGCCGTCAATGAAACATTCAACTCAGCCAGTTTGCTCTGCTTGTTTGCAGCCAGGGGGCTAAAGCTACACTGTCAAAAATTAATATATCATTTCATTTACACATCCAGGTCTCCTGAGATTGGCTGATCTGCAGGACAATGGTCTCAAAAGATTGAGGAGTATTCTTTAGGTTGGCTTAACCACAAATTACCCCAATCGCTATGTACTCATCGGTCAACACACACTTGCTGTCGTAGAAAGGAAAACGATCCGTCTTCCCATCTGCCCCAATCGGACATCGGAACGACTCTAATCCAAAATGTGTAAAGTCTACGGCCTAATCAGGCAAAAGCATGTCAATTTGATCTCCCTCCAATCTTGAAATAAGTTATCCGGTCCATATGCCCCGAACCTATCTCGAGATATTCATTCCGTGTATGACATAGAGACACTGAGTGATATGGCTGGGTGTCGCAAACGATGGCACTCAACCATTATCCCTGCAACCCCAGTGTATTCAACTTCTCTGTCTTCTCTTTTATTAAACGTGGAAGTGGTGAGACAGCAACTCAAACGGGAACACGAATTTGCATGGTTAACAATTATAAAAACTGACTGATTGACTGACTAGCTGGCTGGCCTATTGACTGATTGATTGACTGACTTATGAAGAATAATGGATGAATGAGGGAAAACAGTTATTAACTTGCAGATTCGTGTTTTACAATGCCTTGGTTTGTGAAATTCACTCAGCTTTGTTGTTTGAAAAATGTACTCCATCTCTTATATCACGAAAAACAAGTCAGCATAACTGAGATTCAGTTAGCCACAAAAATGAGAATTTTAAGTTTACATCAATTAGCTTTGAGCTCTTTTAGCTTATCCACTGCGCTAATAAATCTGCTAGGTCATTCTAACCAATAACCGTTGAAAAAAGTAATCTGATTGACCGATATTTCTTTAATGGAATATGATCATTCCATAATAACTAGCTCGGGTGAAAACTGATCAAAATTCAAAAGCAATTAGGCGGCATAGAATATACAGAAAAACGGAAGGTTACGGACTATCGAAATTGCACAACAAAAATCCCCCAACCGTTCAGTTTAAAATCCATCTGCTCAAGGCACCGGTTCAATTTTAGCTTGTCTCGCAGTTCGCTTGAAGTCATTCTAAATGATTTCTTCCTGCAAATGGTTGTCATGTTCTTTTTCGCATCACACGTGTGTCTCATGCTTGTGTAATCATTGTTAACACTATATCTCTGTGTTAACCGCATCTCAGTTTAAGATATCTTTGCTATGGGTATACGCATGCCAATTGGAAAAATTATCTGGTATTTCGAACTTATAGTCCGTTCATCCACACATCAACCACCTTGGTTGGAGTTTTATTCGATTGATCTTGGTGATTGCAGAAAAGCATTGTGGTGTGATAGAATACAAAATAAATTGTACATGTGTGGCACACCACTCTATGTTTTGCTCAGTGTCGTTGAATGCAGTTGCCCCACGAGGGCAGTATTCCGTACAGTGAAAACGCTTACGCGAACTCTCGCGCGAATGATTCAATGGTTTGTCTAAACCCTGTGTTGCATAGTGATTTATCTGCTCACATGACTATACCTGGCTCACATACAGGAGCACGTTCGGTTTTGGGGATTGTAGGGGATTGAATTAGGGGCGCATTGCCTGGTCAGAGAAAAAAATCCCTGATTTCAAGGAAGAGACCTGATAGAGTTTTTTTGTGCATGTGGGTGTTTCTGAGCATCACCGAAATATTGAAGTTCAGCTCCCGGATTTGTGTTTTCTTTTGCCAGAATAACCTTCCGAATCCGAGCTTGAATACTCAAAACTCTCCGAACTGTCTGAAGATGAGGATTCCTGTTCGTCCTCATAGTCTTCTTCATCCTCGGTAGCACTGCTTTCCTCTGGTGTATGATAGGAATGGAAAAATCCGGTTGACTTCATGTGATTTGCCTCGACAAGTAACGGAAGAAATTCTCGTGCTTCTTTGTTTTCCGGTTCTGTTTCCAAAATCTGTCGGCACAAAATCAAAGCTTGTGAGAAGTCTTGTGTCATGATACAATTCAAAAATTCGAGAAACAATTCCAGAGAGCCTTCGGAAGACATATCTCCACGTGAGCTGGTGCCTAACGACGATAGTGACGAGTTTTCAGCCGTCATCTGTCATAAAGCTAAAGTGATAAAGGCAAATCGTTCATTCATTATCCGGCCAATGACAAAGAAGGAATGGATAAAATATATTTCTTATTTTATTACTGTTATTAATATATATATATAATATATATTGTCTCTTCTACCAGTAAAGTATCAAATCCCCTGACTACCGAGGTGTAAACAGTACTCACTGATAGAGTATCACATTTGGATTAGTCCATTCGATTGTTCAGGGACACCAGGCACTCTTGATGGTCTTGATGGTTCGAGTCCTGACAGGAACACAAAACGTACGCATTAATGATTAGTCCCAAACAGGACGAAACAGCTGACCGGTGCTCTTTGTCGGTCATCACAAATCTGTCGATCGTTTATAAATATTCGCCTTTGCACTTTAGGAAATGTTATTTGAAATTTGTTGTTACTAGTGCCCATCAAAGGCTGGTAGAGGGACATATGTAGATGAGGAAGTTAGGCGAACGTGGTGGCAATGGTGAAGGCCGAATTCAAACACAAAACCCCGAAACCACATTGACAGTGACTTGTAGCGTTGAATCCATACAATATTCTGATTGATAACATCGCAACAGTGTTGTGAAGATCTTTTTATTAAATTAGGTTTCTGTGAAAATGATAATAGCTGAATTCTTTGGGTGAACAAACTCTTTTGTGATCTCACTAAAATTGTGCCGGTGTTAAAAGCCCAGAAAACATGCAATCTTAAATCGAAATATGTGACAATGGGAATACAATAAAGCAAAGTATAGAAAGGTATACGACGAGAATAGTAATTGGGAATGGTAAGAAGCTAAATTTTCCGGTGACGGCTAGTCTTACACGGTTCTGTTGTAAGAAACACAATTAGGGAATTACCGATCCGACACAACTAAATCCATGGATCAAACTAGAAGCATCAAACATGTGCTTATACACAAAAAAACTTAATCATTCGGGATATGTTTCCTTTGTTCATACCCAAATGAAATTGTTTTTTCTACAAACATTATTGTCCTATGGTTCCGTTGGCACACAGTTGGCACTCAGAGGAGTTTGAAGTAAATATATTATAAGTTTCTCTCTATTCTCGTTCTTCAACATTTTTACCATACTTTGCTTGGAGAATTATGAATATAGCTTCATCAGACTTTTCAGTTTCCACAAATTAATTCAAATTTTTAGGTGGGAAACTTGATGGGACTGTATGTTGCTTATTATGATCTCTTTTTTGTGTCTATAAATTACTCGAATATTGTGGTTCTTTTCGCACGCAGCCGATGTAAGTTGGATAGTCGTTTGATAAAAAACAACAATTAGCTGCTATTTAGGCTATCCGCGAAATGACAAAATTGCAACCTCTGGCTGAAATCGTAAACAACGCAGGTCACTTACTAGACGGACTGTATGCGTACCTATAATATGTATGTTATTTTTGGTTCTCTATTACGTTATTCAGTATTTGAGTGGTCCCATTCATCACATTTATGATGTAAATTTTGGCTATGCGATTTTTCATTACGCATTTCCCTATGACATCCAGGGCAAGGATTATTGAGCTCCCTTGATGAGCTGTGCTGTTTTTAATTAGGGCTGAAATATCCACCGGTGGTTAATAAAGTAATGTTGGGTTTGTAAAAAATGAGTAAAAGACTAGAAAGAAATTTCACAAGCATGACAAACAAATGAACAATGATATTCAATAAATTTTGTTCTCATGTATATTGCTGAAGGTTATAAAAGCAATTTATCTGTACTGTTAAATGACCGTAATCACTTTTATCCAGTTATTCATTTTCATTATTGTATGTCTTTTAATGCTCTAGTTACGCTTGGAGTGGAAATATGAGGCATTAGATATAGGAATTTTCTCCTTCTGACGTGTGTATATCGTTGTGAATTTGGTTTAGAGACTCATCATGCAGAGGCAGCATATCACTGGCACCACCAAAACGTCACTGATTCACTTTGCAGCAACCTTTTTTCTTATAGAAAACCAGAAATAGTGAAGATTTATCCATTTTTTGTGACGGCTTTATGGCAAATGCAAAAGAGTATGTGTCCCGTGTGTTTTCCTCCAGACAGCCGGGACATGTGTGACGCGTCATCAAATGGCCTTACGTGGTGTGCAACATTTGTTGATAAAAAAACGCTAGTTATGGTCATATTAAAATCTGGCATGAAGGTATGAAGAGCACTTATCATGGAATCGAAATACACAAGCTGCATCAGGTTTTTCGTCTAAGGACGTTGAGAGCAATATAGTCGACAGTTAGAAACAATGAGTGAAAAGTTTGGGTGTCACTATGGCTCTCGTGACCATTCTCAAACTCTTCGCAAATTTCGTTTCACTGCATTTAGCATTTCAGCTTTGTTACCACTCCTTGCAGCCTGAGTTTCTTGTCTACTCGTTCATCAGCATTCAGTTGAAGAGGCAGGCAAAAGAAGGCAACAAAACTTGTCAGTAGGAAGTAAGTAGTTAGATCGAAGAACCTGAAACTAAACTAGCCGTGTCTGAAATAACTTTTCACTAATTTGACATTATATTTTCGACTAAAATAGGATCACTAACGCAGATGCTTGTCGACCTTGTTCCAAATATCGGTAGTCCGATAATAAAAATGAATCAGCATCATATTATGTGAGGTCGTTTGAAAACGCACCGCTGGAGTCACTCGGGGCACCGTAGTAGTTCACATTCCCCCATTGGTAACTTCAGCTTCCAGCTCAGTAAGTGCATACTGATGATGATTTCCAGTTATTAGACCACTGGCGTACGTTTTAGACGGAAATTGTTTACAGCGACTTGTCTTATATAGTTAATTTGTTGCATTTTATTTAAATAGATTCAAAAAGATGACGATATTGTCATGTATAAAAGTACATAGGCATAAAATACAGATAACACCTTCAATTTCCGGTTCGATATTCAGAGTGAATGAATTGACATTGACTTTGGGCGAGTCACATCACAGTGGGCAGACGGTTATGAGAATATTGTTTTAACCAATGGCCATTTTGCACACCAAGATCAGTTTTTTCACTTCATGCATTCATCAGCCTTGCACTTTCGGGGTGTTTGTGATTGGTGTCAATTCTCACTGCATTCGCTATGGCCAATACTCGATTTTTAATCCGATGAGGTCGTCGTTGAAGAATCTGACAGAAGGGACTAAAGGTCCTGGCTAAGTTCACTATGATTTGACTCAACAAGGTGTAGACAGATTGCGCTTGATTCGCAACCAGGTCACATGAATCAATGCCCTGCTCGTGAGACCAATTTATGTTGTCCCATAGTAGCAAATGAATAATAGTAATAATAATAAGCGCCAAATGAGATCTCAGAAACATGAACTTAGTTCTTGAGTTGCCGACTTATGGTGGTGCCTGAACTCGTTTGTGAGATAAAGCTTATCCGCTTTCCATTTACCGCTGTTATCAACGTTCATATGATTTCAACTGTCAATGGTAGTCTTGCATAACGCAAATTCTTTCCGACCGCAATGGTGCGATCATTCGCCCTGTTGTATTCGTGTGTAACGGTCGCATTGTCCCACGATATAATTTGGTGTTTCCTGCCGTATTGTGCCAGTTAAGATGCAGAGAAATCTGCATTTGCATAAATCGAACAACCTAACCCTGTTGCGCCCTCTCTTCATGTTTACTTCTCGTTTATTTGGTTTTTGAATTTGTTGTCCAAAAACTGATCCGATAACGACTTTTAAGCATTTCTGACGTAGAATCTCTTTGAGAGTAGTATCACTCCAGCACTTATTTTGTGCTCCGTTCCCGAAACGCTGAATAAAGTTCCTCTTTTACGTGATTACTATGAAACTTTTTGAAATAAATCTACGAACCAGATCACGGGGCTTTTCTGTTAACCGAGCGCCGATATGCACAAGTCTGGGAATGTTGTCCGGGTTCTATATTCTACCTCTGAAGTACACTTGATATTTGGGTGCGCATTGCAGAATGCTGAAGGAACTTGACTGATAATAATATACTCGATAATAAAACACAACATATCATCCACTTGTCCCCTTCATTGTTTACAATCATTATTATAAAATTGAGTTCTGTTACTCTCCAACATAACCATAAAAGCATCTACATTCAACGGGCTTAGTGGAGGGCCCGTCGTCACCCGATTCTTCTGATAATATATATTATCTTTGTAGCTGAATTGCATGTTATATTGAAACATAAGGCAAATGTTTCTAATCCCCCATTAGGATATTGATATCAATGTCGATATTTTCAGTGTGGGATACTAATGATCACTTTTCCTTTGGTTTTAATATTGGTGAATAGTTAAGTAACTGGTGGCGTATTAGCAGTGGTAGACAAATCACTCCGAACAAGTCTGATTCGAGACAGTGTACGTTATTCGAAAAATAGAAACAGCTGCACGTATGGCTTGATGATATTTCAGGATGAATCACGCCAGTTATCGCAATAGATAGAAATAATTTAAATGGAGGCGTTTTAAACATCATAAGAAGTTATTTGGTTTCCAGGGACAAGACGAATTTCACTTGCTACTCTTTCTTTCGGTTGTTAAATACTCTTGTCGAATAGGGTAGAGCGAATTCCCCTATAGTTCTGTGTGCGTTGCACTAACTGTAGTACTAACACCTGGTAACACGGTACATATTGATATTCATCTGCAACTGGCTACTTGATTGTCTATACAATAGAACAATAATTAAACGTACATTTTGGAGCTTACGTTTGAGTGTTTAGCTAAACAATTCAAAACCAGTTTCAATATATCTGTCTTCATACTGAAAACCAGGCGGTAAAGAGTTAACAATTGTTCCAGCCTTCATTTAAAAAATAGACTTTACTTAAACTACTTGTCTATAAATAATTGTATTGCTACTTCACTCTGAATGTGCCACCATTCCATAAAAATTTCATCTCAAATTTGGCTTGTCGTCAACACTTGAAGCCAGACAAAATGTGCCACCTTCGATCGCTGTTGTTTATTGTTCTAAATCGTAAGAAAAGCT